CATGCACAATGGAGTACTGAATAACCCTCTATTAAAGAAGTTGAATCTGTAGTTTAAAATCTTCCTACAAAGGGAACCAATTGGCTTCACCGGTAAATTCTACCAATCATTTAAGGAAGAAATAATACCAATTCTACACAAATGTATCCCAGAAGACTGAAGAGGGCAAAATATTTTCCATGAAGCCAACATTACCTGATACCAAAACCAGACAAAGACATAAGAAAAAAAAATTTAATGTAAAATCTAAAACTACAAAACTTGTAGAAAAGCGCACAGAAGTAAATCTTTACAGCCCTGGGTAAGGTAAAAATTTCTTATATATGGCACATTCATTAAAGAATAAATCGATGAATTGAACTTCATTAAAATTAAAAACTTCTATTCTGTAAAAGACACTTAAGAGAATAAAAAGGAAAAAAAAAGAGTCCATCCCCAATGCTCATAATCCCCACTACAAGAATGAATTCTTCATTCCTTAGCTTGGTATACAGGTCTCTCTTCGAACAGGTCCCTAAGGACTATCAGATCTCCCTTCCCAGATGGAGATGGAAGAATGGTGTCCTGCAAATGCTAGAACAAACGAAAAGAGGCTCAAAAAGGAATAGAAGTCAACGCAGAGAATACATAGGTAGGTGGGAGAAAGGCAAGCGATCTATATTTACCTGAGCTGGTGTTTAGCAGGTCAATTAATGTGGAGGTCATCCACTAGCTGTAACTGGCATGTGAGATCCAGTTAAAGGAAAAAGGGGGAGGTTCACAGACATCCAAAACTCATTATCATCTCTTCATGAAAATTTTACCATTCTGTACTCCAATTTCCTGAATAAGCAGTTATTTTAAACCTCCAAGCCTTTGTTTCTTCTGCTCCCTCCGTGTAAGGACTCCCTTCTTCCACTCATTTGTCTTCTGGTGAACTACCACTCATTTTTCAAAAAATAATTTACAATGCTTCTACCATTCTCTCTAGTATTTGGATTTCAGTTTTAAGAATTCTGGCTGATGCATTCCTCTGAAACACAGTTTTTACTCCCCACCCCAACCAAACTCCTCATCACCAATTCTCCCACACCATGCAGATGGTGGCCAACTAATCCTCTTTATCGGAAAAGGGATATTTCCACTTCAAACCTAAGAAACCTAAGAAATAATCCTAATGTTATCAATATAGGGTCATTAATGATTTTAGATAATATACACTGTGCACTTAATACGTGCTAGGTACCATCCTAAGTGCTTTATTTGCATCATCTTATTTAATCCTCACAATAAACCCTTAAGGGTTGTTGTGCTATTATACCCATTTAACAAATGAGAAAATAGACATGGAGAAGCAGCTAAGTAACTTGCCCAAGGTCAAAGACCTGGAAAGAGACACAGTTAAAATATGAGCCCAGGCTGACTGAATCCAGAGGTTAAGTTCTTAACCACTGGTCTATAATGCTTCCAAAATGGAACTTACTACTTTTTTCCTACTCTCCCTGTTCCTCAAGCAAGCCAAAAACCTGAGGTGTCCTCTACCTCTTTCTTCAAAATCCCTCATCTCCAGTTTCTCTGTACCTACCTTAGTTTACTTCTTACCTGGATAATGACAACAGTCACCTAACTGCACTCTGCTATAATGCATGTTCCTCATAAAAACCAGCTGGGCTTTTCAAATAAATCACAATCTGATCAAGTTACCCAACTGAATTCCTTTCAGTGATTCCTAAAATCTGTGCAAAGGTCCAAACTCCTTAACACACAGCAGAGGAGGCCCTTCACCATCTAGCCGAATTCTTCCCTTTCAGCTCCACATGCCAGTTTCCTATATACACCATATTCCATTCAAGCCAACGTGCTTTCAAATTTTTTACAAAGCACATTCCTAATCCCTTCAGTGTTGCAAATAGTGTTCTATTTGCTTACACAGTTCTTTACCTAGTAAATTCATATTAGTATTTCAAGTTTCAGCACAAATGGCACCTTCCTTGACCACAGTAAATTATAACCCTGTAATTGTTAATATTTGTTTAGCACTATGTGTCGGACACTATCATAAATCCTTTATATATTGTAACACTCATTTAATCATTCCAACAACCCTGTGAGGAAACTGAGGCAAAAAAAGTTAGTCGTTGCTACCACTTCAGCATATATATGGAATTTACAGATTTTCCTCCTCAAATTAAATTCTTGGAGGGTAGAACAGTCTTCCTTACCCGTGTAGTATCTATGCTTGTATAGCGCTTGGCACGTAACAGAAATAGGAGGCGCTCAATAAACAATCTTTGAATAAATGGCCAGAGCTGTGCTTCTAGGTTCTAACTGCAGCTGGAAACTATTCTGGCCATTAGCCCTCTAATTTCTCCAGAGCATGCGAGGAGCATAACAAACATGCCTGTAACAGAGTCCCATATAAGCGTAAGGAACCTGGAAGTAGTTACCAAACGGTTTTAAAGTGTATACACATCCTCATATATACCACCAAGCTTTTTCTGCAGCTTTTTAAAGTTTTTGCAAATTTCTAGGCACCAAACAGGCACTCAGAAAATATTAGTTAACAATGACGGTATTAAACATTACATTTAAGAATTCTCAATCAAGGAATATAGAGCTTACTTTGTTCTCGCGGGAAGTCGATTTCTGTGTCTATTTGGATACAATTTTAGTTGGGAGCATTCACCACCTTTTCTCAAAAAGACACAAAGCTCGCTGTGCGGGAAAACAAAAGTAACGCAACGCTTCGGAGGTTGTTTGGCACTGGAGCGGTGTAATTAGCATCCTACTCACGCGGCGTCAATAGCCCCGCGGCGTCTCCTTCCCCAGAGTCCCAGCCGAACCCCTCGCTCAAAAGACACTACAAATTTCTGGTTTGCTGGGGACCCGCCACGTGAATTCTGTTCCACGTCCACTCGAATCTCAGCCAGGTGGGACCAGGGACGCGAGTGGATATATGCGTCCCGCGGGTCACTCGGGGTCGTGTAGGGCCACTCAGGAGAGCGCCGAGGAAGCCGGCGGGCAGCCCGGTGGCGGCGTCCTTGGCAGAACGACGAGCGACTTCAGGACGGCCGGGAAGCCCGACGCCAGCAGCGGAAGTCCACTCGGCCCGCCCTGCGACTTTGAAACCGGTGCCCCAGACCGCTCCTTGGAGACAGTGACGCCGCCTGCGTCATCACGCTGGCGTCAGCGCTTGCGTCGCCGCGCTTCCCGGAGTTCTCTCACACTATTGGCTACCTGCAAAGCGAGGGGCGGAGCTGTGGGAACCTGGATGACAGCTTGTTTAGCCACCTGTGTGGTAGCCGGCAAGCTGGGGCGGGGGTAGAGGGGGAGGTAATTTTTTTCCCTTTTATTCCTTTTTTTTTTTAAAGAAGCCCTCCCAAATGTAAACATAGGTAGGGCATTAAATACATACTTTAAATTTCCCAGTATCTTTGTTACCTAGCATTTCAGACTGGGAGAACCCGCTGGCCAAAGCGGGTGGGTGGAAAGCATGCAGCTTTCTGCGTCTGGGGTTGGAACCCAGACTGGCGTCTTCAGAGTCTACATCCAAGGCTGTCCCTCTGGAGGATTTCTGGGTATGAATTTAGTTATCTCCTTATCCCGAGTCCCAGTCGAGTCCCTCGCTCAGGGTAGACACTTAAGATTTCGGGTTTGCTGGGGACCCGCGAAGTGAATTCTGTTCACTAAATTCTGTGAATTTAGTAATATCCAGAAGCTAAGTACGTGGGTCTTTGGAGAAAGGACACAGTTGTTGTTTAAATAGTTAACTGTGTGCTAATTAGGCATGCAGTACTCCAAAGGTCCTGCAAATTCAGCAGCTATTTCTTTAGAGAAAACCGCGCCCTCAAAAAAGACGAAAAGACTAAAGTTACATTTTTTTGCAAGAAAAAAAATTAGGTAAAACTTTACATTGCAGCTGGATTATAATTCCCATTTTTAAAAATTGATTTTGTCTAGATTTTAAACCTCATCATTTTCTTTAAACAGTTAACATTAGGGGAAATTTCAGTGCTAGCAATAATAACTAACTTGAAGCCAGCCACCGTTCTAGTGATTTTTTAATCGAATAAGTTTTTATGAATTAAGGTAAAGTTCCTGAACAGACATGTCATAGATGTAGCTCGATTTAGCTTCCTCTTTAACAGTTTAAGAAGTTTTTGTTGTCTTGTACTCATAATGTTATATAAAGAAATGTTAGCAGAATGTGTTAAGAAGTTTTAAAAATGAGCCCAGCTGTGTCCAATTAGGTATTTGCTGTTACAAGTTTTCTCTATACTCACTATTAAGAGAATGAGATGGTCCCTTCCTCTAAAGACTGATTGTTAAATACGGAGGTATATCTAATAACCATAAAAAGCTTACTTTAACTCTAAGGTAGTGAAGATTGAACTTGATCTGATTTTTAGTGGCCATGAAGTTAACACAAAACTTCTTAGAAAGAGAAATTGATGAGTGCAAGCTCCAACTCTTTTTTGAAGGTCAGTGTATGACTTCTTCATGAACAATGTTTTTGATTCTCCAAGGACTTGTTTGTAACTTCCCTTACATTTGAACCTTGTATGTTGTCATAGTGTGATTTAACTTGGCATCAAACAAGTAGTTATAAATTTAACTTTACATTTACGCTATAAGTTGGTAAGATATTAGTGTGGGTAAAAACAAACAGTGCTTTCTGGATGTAAATAATGAGGTGGTCTTTGCAGTGCATAAATTAAGCATCTGAAATTTGAATTATTTGGCCTATGTGATCAAGGTCAATACAAACTATAGTTCTGGGGTTCTGAGGTGTGGTGTGTTTTGGTTTTGGTTTTGTTTTTATTGTTGTTACAAGATTTTTACTGGTTGAATTTTAATGAAGTACTTTCAAAGTAATTTTCATCTTTAAGAAACAAAATTGCTATGATCCCACCTGTCTTTAAAGTATCCCCTCTGGTGTTTTTCCTGTTTAAAGCTCCCCTTGTGTTTACCGACTTACCCCAAGCTAGGTGCTTTCTTGTTACTTTCTTTGTGCTTGTACATGCAGTCTCTATCATATTGTTTTGTAGTTTGACTTCAAGCTACATCATACTACCTGGAAAACAATGAGCACTCAATAAGTATCTGATGAAGGAATTAAAGAATTCGGTGAATGTGCATGGAAAGTAACTATTACTGTAATTGAGTACAGGGAATGAAAAGGTGAGAAAAGTACTTAATATGTGTTTAAACATTCTCTAGTCACTAATTTATGTTTTTATATTAGATATATTTCTGCAGTAAGGAAACCCCTTGAAAATTAATAGATTTCACTAATATTAATTTATGCCATAAATTGACATTGAGCACCAAATAGTATAGGGAAAGCATCATGAAGAATACAAAGTTGGAAATTTAAGCTAGGATCTAAACTTTATTTAACATTGACTGATATTATTAGGTGCCATGAAAAGTGATTTTTAAAAATTCCTTAATGAGTATGTTTATTTGACCAACCAAGAGAAGGATGGCCTGGAAATTAAATTTCTCTTTTTAAGCTTGTCTTTTTTTATTATTATAATTATTGTAGTAGAAGACATATAACATGAAGTCTACTCTTAAAGTATAGAACACAATATTGTTAACTATATGCACATTGTTATATAAAAGATCTCTAGAACTGTTTCATCTTGCATGACTGAAACTCTATACCTACTGAACAACTCCCCATTTCTGTCTCCAACCAAAAGTGATTTTCATAAAACAAAAATAATTGCTTTGTTAAAACAAACACTGCTGTGTCCCCCTCCAAGTTTTTAGAAGTATGTTACAAGCAGAATATTTTTAGGCTGAACCATATGAAATTGTTGACCAAAGTTTCAAATGGTTTAGCTTAATACTTCAACTGAAAATATTTGAATAACGGCAAGACACCAATGTAATATCTACTTTTGCAAGTTGGGAGAAAATCGTAGTGTTTACCTAAACATGTAGAATATGCACACTCTCCTCACAGTAGCTAGGAAGTTCAGGTGCAGTGACTCCTTGCTGAATTAAACCCTTAGATCCTATTAGAAGTTTGGTAACTCTGAACAACTAAAATACAGAATGATTATATTATTTGGAAATATTGTAATTCTGTAAATTATTACCTTTTCTTGAAAAGTCTAAAACTTTATACATGATTATTTTATGAATTTAGTTCTAATCCTATATGGAAACAGTAAGGTCAAACTGTCTTGGGTGAAAGAGACCCTAAATGATGGAAAGCAGGCTGATAAATGCTTAAACTGCTAGGATAGTTAAGACTGAGCCAACCAGAACCATATCTGTAGAGCACTTAACCATATTTTCTCATCTCAAGGGTCAGACGATCCTGTCTCGCAGTCTAATTTCCTACAAGAAAACCACTTAAGAAACATGTAATTTTAATGATTCGAACAGAAAAATATTTTCTTTAGGCAAACCTATATACTTTGATAATAATAGAAAATCTTTTTTTTAGTACTGACCATGCACCAGGCATATATGTGTATATACACACACACACACACTTTATCCTCATAAAACCTTGCAAGGTAGGTGCTATTTTAAAATCCTTTTTACAATAACTTGCTGATGATCACATTTGCGAAGTGCCTAAACTGGGATTTGAACCCAGGCTATCTGATCCCAATGTTAGAATGTTAACCACTATGTTCATGCCTCCTAGTACTGTAATATAATTTACAGTTTTTGCTTATATAGCCTGTTAGCCTTTAGTTGCATTAAGTGAATCATTGCCGTACTTATTCTATTGTTATCTTAATGATTTACAGCTGATTTTTAAATTGTTGCACCATTTGAAATATTGCCGGGTTACCCTTCCTTCTCCTTCTAGAAAACCGCTCAAACTTCTGTGGAAGGATGGAAAGTCTTCCGAGGGTCACTGGCAGCCCTTCCACAGGCGTCTTTGCGTCAACGCTGGAGCCCCTCCCCCGGACGCGCGGGCAGCGGGGCGGAGCCTGGGCGGGGCCTTCGGCAGGGACCTCGGCGAAGGGAGCGCGCGAGTGTTGGACTGAGGAAAGCTTCCCGGTCTGTGTTGTCGTCTTCTTTGCGCTTTCTTCACTCGGTAATTCCTCTCACCTTCTCCCAGCTTTGTTGGCTTTTTTCTGTGGCAACTTACTTTTCAGCTGCAACTTGTGCCGGCTCAGTTTACTCCCACTTTCGGCCTGACTTCCTCATTTCTCCGTTTCTCTCTTAATTGGGCGGGGGGGGGGCGCGGAGGGGGGAGAAGGCTTCAAACTGAAGAGATAGTTATTGTGGAAAACTTAAAAAAAAATTCATGAAAAGAATTTGTAAATTGGAAAGAATTTGGAAATTCTCCTCACAGACTGTTCTGTTGAGAAAGCACTTTTTCCACAACTTCCTTCTTTACCTTTAACTTTCCTTTAACTTCTTTAGCTTTGTGGAATTTTTTTTCCTCTCCAGGCGCTTAATGCTCTGAGGTTCTATCTCCTTTCTCTTCCTTGATCTGCTTTTAAAGGTCTGTCCATACTACATGTAAAGCATGAAAATAATTTAAAAATTATTTTTCACTTTATTTGATGAAAGAATAATTTGAATAGAGGTTAAAATGTGGAAAAATACAGATTAACAATAAACATTCTTTTTAAGGACGTCTAAAAAGCCAACATTAAAATTGTATAAAAATAGGAGGGTCATCACCTTGAATGAATATATTCCTTCAGTAATATTCCTGCTGTTCATTCAGACTTTTTAGAAATGTTCAGCATACATAATGTAAGAGAGAGAAAAGGAAGCCACCATACTCTGAGAAACTCAGCCATAAATTGGACTTTAAAAAATATTTTAAATTATTCATTTATTTTTTAATAGTAATGCGTGCCTATCGTAGTATAAAATTCAAGTAGGTTAAGAAAAAAGTGAGACACTTGAAAGTAAATTTTGGTTCCTCTCCTGTCTCAGATAATTCTCTCCAAAGAGGCAATCGCTGCTACACTGGTTCCTTGTATATGCTTCTTGAGATAGTATATGCATTAAAAACCATGTATACAAATAGCCTTCCTTTCTATTAAATAAATGCACACTTTTTTGCACCTGTTTTTTTTTCCTTAATGCGTTTTAGGTGTGAATGTAGAGTTGCCTCGCTCTTTTTAACAGCTATGTGGTGTTTTACTGTATGATACAGCATAATTTATTTACCAGTCCTCTGCTGATGGGTTTTGGTGGGGGTAGATAATTAGATTTATTTATTTATTTATTTTAATGGAGGTAGTTTTTTAATGGAGGATTGAACCCAGGACCTTGTGCATGCTGAGCATGCTCTACCACTGAGCTCTACCCTCTCCCCCTTGCTACTGATGGTTTTTAAGTTGCTTACAATGTTCGTTATTCTAAACAGTGTTATGGTAAATATCTTTATACTTATATCATTTTGAATAGGTGCAGGTATAACTCCTAGAACTAGACTTGTTGAGTCAAAGGTTATTTGCGTTTTTTATTTTGATAGATATTGAGGGGTTGCTCTTGACAGAGACTGTGATAGTTATGCCCCAACAGCAGTATGTGATTGTTTCTGTGTCCTCATTATCACAGCATCTTATCAAACTTTCTATTCCTTTACAATCTTAGTGAAAGATAATAATTTTTTGTTGTTTAGTTTGCATTTCTATCATTATAAATGAGGCCTGCCTTTCTGTGAACTGGCTGTTCATATCTTTATCCACTTTTCTGTTGGGGTAATCTTTTCCTTAGTGATTTCTAGGAAACCTTTAAACATTAAAGAAATTAGTTATATGTTGGAACTGTGAGTTACAGGTGTTTTTTTCCCCAGGCTATCTTTGATTTCATAATGGTGGGGTTTTTTGGTGGAGGAAGTCAGATTTTGCTTTTATTTTTTAAATTTCTGTATAGCTAAATGTATCAGTCTCTAATGGCTTCTGGGTTTGGGGTTATATTTTAAAAAGGATTTTTCTACTATAAGATCATCTTTTAAAAACAGCCTCCCTTTTTTCTTTCTTGTTTTTATATGATGTGATTTTTATGTTTAGATTTTTGATTGGTTTGAAACTTAGCTTGGTATAGAGATCCAACTTTATTAAATCAGGCTGCAAAATGAACCAATCGATAATGCATCAACATGAGACCTGTTGATTACTTACATGAAAATGATCCCTAGTCCCCACAGACTTTCTCATACTTCATTTCTCCAGCACCTTGTATGGTGCCTGCAACAAAATGAGTAGAAAACTAATTTGGAAGGAACTTTCTAGATGTATCATCTTAGGTATTTGCCATTGTTTTGATGGTGTTGAAAGAGGTAATATCACTAACACAGTTGATTTCTCCTGCATAAAATCTCAGAATCATGAAATTTTGGATCCAGAGACTAGAACAGTTTTTCACTCAACAAATAAATACTTTCTTATTCCTATTACTTACAGGCATTCTAGCTGGGAATGGGGAGACAATAAACAACATGACATGCAGTATAAGTATTGTGAATCAAAACAGCAGTGTATGGGCAATATGGAGTGACAGGGATTGGAATGCTGCACGGATACACACTAGCCCAGGTCGTGAAGGATGCTGGCAGTTGAATTGTCTGTACTTCATAAGAGCACATGTGTGAACAATGAAAATTGAAAGGTGATGCGGGTTAAACCTCTACAATCCTAATCCAAGGGTCCCCAGGGAGTTGAAAGACGAATCAGTTGTCTCTGGGTCCATTTTATCTTTAGATTAGATCATAAACTAGTGGGCAGGACTATAATTTTTAGGTTGATTTTTTAAAATAAATATGTGCATTTAGATTAGCATGAATATTCTTTAAGCAAATGAACAAATTTGTTGTGGTAAGAATCTAAAGTCATTTTGTACAGTGAAAGCCAAAATTATATCCTACACTTGGACACGTCAGCTGTGGCACTCCTTCCTACTAGTGGAAGTCTAGTCGATATTTCTTGCAATAATTTTCAAACAACGCTTAGAGAAAAAGGCAGAAGTAACCAGTAGAAACCACTACCTTATACTGTCAACAAGAGTAGCTCTGCTTTTATAGTTTATTTCTTCTTATCTTCCAGTTAGGATTGCATTTTGAAGTAATTTGAAACCTCACTCTGGCTATGAGACCTATTATATGTGCATGAAAGTGACAGACCATGTTTAGGACCACATCACTGGATATGGTGTAATTCCATTTAGGCGTAGAGATAGATGATTGCCTAAGAGAGATGGGAGTTGAAAATTCCCTGGTAGAAACCTACTAAGTAGGATAAGGATCCTTTTAACGTGTGCAGCATTTTCTGTGGATATGTTGGTTATGTGGAGAATGAATGACTCTACCAAAACTCCCTAGTTGCTGAGCTATGTTTTGCCAGGACTGTCAGAATTCTCTAGCCCTAACTTAGGAGAGTAGCATATTCTCTCAGCATATTGGTGTCAGAATCAGATTAAATCATCATTTCTAATAACTTGATTTATTCTTATTTCTCCCTATCTGCTGCAAGAGGGTACTTAATTACTAGTACCAGAATTTGGGGTAGAAGGTAATATATTTATTTTTGAAGAATGTGCCTTGATATTTCAACTAAAGAAAATAAGTTTTTTATTAAGGTGTTCTATTCCATGCAAATCCGGGCTTAATTTCACATAAATCAGAATCTCTATACAGTCTTATTGTTCACTGAGCTTATTTCAATGATGAAGAATGTAAATTGCTTAACCTATCCTCTTTTAATATGCCTTTATTTGCAGATGGGTTGTAATACCAGAACTATTTTTTAATTTTAGAGGTTATCTATTAAAATTTGCTAGCACATAGTGAAAATTGAAAAAAGTTACATACTTTAGAAAAAGGTTTTCAGAGATCTTGGATTCTTTATGTGACCCAGAGCTTGTATATTTGGTTCTCCAAGTGCTTGACACATTGTAAAGTACTCAAAATATACTCACTGAAATAAATGTATTTAAGTATCTTTATATGAAACCATCACACTGTTCACCTTAAATATATAAATCTGTCAATTATACCTCAGTAAATCTAAAAATAATTTTTTAAAGAGATAAATTTCTTCAAAATGTAAAACTTTATTACTTGCAGTAAAAATAACATATGAAGCAAGGAAATGCATCCAGAGACTTCAGATACGAAAAATTACAGCCTGGAAATATCATCATTTACTAATCAAGGTTATCTTTTGGACAAGACATAAGGACCTAGTATAATTTGGGGGGATCCACCTCTCCTGAAATAAGGTTTTCATCTCTTTGCAGATTCCTGAAATGTCTTCATCTAGGATGGCATGGCTGACATTGATTCGATTTCTTGATTTACTAGCCATCTGACCTTGGACAAGTCTGTTTCTTCATTTGTAATGAGGATAATAATACTTCTTCAACAAGTTTTTGTGAAATTAAATGAGATGATGTTTATAAAACACCTGATCCATAGTGTTCAGCAAAACGTAATTTTATTAATATAATACTATGTCCTCCCCTTTAATCCTTGGAGAAATAATTAAAATGCAAATACTGTTTGTGTCAAATGAACTTAGTCTATTTCATAGTTTAAATGATAGCAGATTTTTCCCCATGTTTCAGTGGAGAGAAGGAAGTAACAAAGCAAATGGTCATTTAGCACTTGAAATAACATAAATTGAAAAGGCTAAGAAAATCTATACCCCGAGATCAAGAAAGACAATATTAAACTCTGCTTACCTTCAAATGATTGAAGTCCCCCTCCACTCCTAGCTTAAAAAGAGAAGAGTTTTAGCCGAAAGAACAAGTGTTAACTGCAATGCTTGTACTCATTTATTGAGACTTTAAAAAATCAAATTGAATTTTATTGTAAAGATATTGACTCCCATGAGATCCAGTAATTCATCTGCATGACAAAGCATGACATATAAACTCATAGTGCTAATAGTTAAGTACATGAACAACTTGCAGTAGATTTAATTACAGTTCTTAAAAATGATTTTGATACAGTCTTTACAAGGTAACATGAGCTAGATCTAGACTTAAAGCTTTTAGGATACAACCACCTACTTTATAATTGAATTCCATGTCTGTGATTTGCCATAGCACAAATGATCTTTTGACTCTCAGAACTGTGTTCTTTTCACTCTGCTGCCTTCCTACCTGCTATGTGGCTTTGAACTTTTCATTTTGTTTCATCTAAAGGAAACATTTGTAAATTGTTAAAGAGCTTGTTTTCATTCTTTTTCCCTTTAGAGTCTTCAGATGGATTTTAAAATTGAACACACTTGGGATGAGTTTCCAGTGAAGCATGAGCCAGTGTTTGTCAGGGTGAATCCGGGTGATGGAGGAGTGATGATGGAAATTAGTGCTCCATTTTTCAATGATCCTCCAGCCCCACTAGGAGAACCAGGAAAGCCTTTCAATGAACTGTGGGATTATGAAGGTAAGTGGAAGTACTGCATTTTATTGCAAACATAAATCTTTTTATAATAACCTCTCATACAACTATTATTTTATCTTGCTATAAGGAAGTGAGTGCTTCTGAGCAACTGACATGTGCAGTTTCTGATAATTTCCTACCAATCTCTCATTCTGACTTTTTCATCATTACCTATGTGACTTCAACTATATAACAAGAACAGTGAAAAATGGCAATTACAAATCCAGATTTTTAAATTGCTGCTATAATTCCTTCCTTTACTTCTGTTATCTATTGTAAGAAGAGTTCAGCATTCCTGCTTTGTTTTAAAGTGTCTTCAAATTGCTGCTTTAAACTTATAAACCTTCTTTATGGAAGTTTTGGGGTGTTTTACTTATTATAGAGACCCATCAACTTCAACATGAAATGTAGTTTTTATTTTGTACTTACTAGTGCTCTCACATATCAAGTGAAGACTAAAAGACATGTCATGAAATTACAGTTTCAGGTTTGCTATATGATCACCTTATAATGTATCCTAATTAAGCTACCAGGCTTATCTTTCTGAAATTCTCTTTATGATGCCATTCCCTAAATTACAAATCATTACTATCCCTAAGATAAAGTTCAGACCATTCCCATGAGCTTTCAAGGTACTCATGAATTGAGCTATCATATTCAATCAAAAGTTCTTGACCTCTGAAAGGCTGATAGTCTCACTGTTCATGCATGTTCTCACTTATATACCTTTCCTCAGTCCCCCTGCCTCTACTGCACATAGTTCAAGGTCTAATTCAGGTTTCATTTCTTCAGAGAAACCTTTGATGACTCTTCTAGTCCATACTAACATCTGCTTTCTCTATACCATCTGTATAGCATGCATTTTGTCAGTGTTCATTTATCATACATTAAATGAAGGTTGTCTTTTATTGATACAGAACTTGTATATACCAGCTTCCTGTTGGTGTACACACCAATGTGACTTACCTACTGGAGATACTACAGACAACAAACTCAGCAAGTCGTAAACTTAGCTCGTCCACTTCTCTCATAAACCTGCTTCCTTCCCTAATTGCCTAGTTTCAATCAATGGCACCATAATACATCAAATCACCAAATATTGAAATGTGAGGTCTTTCCAAGTTATCTTCTCTCTCACTCTCCATATTTGGGTTTATTTATTAAATCTTGCCAGTTTCACCTCCTGATTGCTTTTCTAATTCAGTATCTCTTCTTCATCCTACCATCCTTTCCACAGGAAAAGACTTAAAAAGGGGCAATAAGACTCTCTGAATTGTTGATGGGACTATATCTGTATCTTAGATATTTTATTGTTATAAAAATAACACATGGAAAACTAGAAACTACCTAAATGTCTATCAATAAAGAATTTTGTGAATAAATGATAGCATTCTATAGAAGAATACTATGCAGTAATTAAAAAGAGGTAGCTGTATGCTGTAAAACATGTGAGTGTGGAAAAAGCAAGTTGTAGACAGGAAATGATTATATATTTTTTAATCTATGTAGGTAAAATACATTGTGGAAAGATAGAAGTCTGACAGAGTTTAGAGCAAAGTGGGAAGGAAAGGATTTTGACTTTTTACTTCATATATGTTTGTATTGTTTTAATAATTTATAAGAAGTATGTTTTACTTTCGTAATAACACAGTTTTTAAAATCAACATGCTTGGAAAATTCCAGAAAATTATAAAGAAAAGAAAAATCACCTACTTGCATTCCACCTGTCAGAGACAACCAGTCATAACATTTTTGTGCACATTTTGCAGCCATCTAGGCACAGGCTCACACAGACATTTTTATTTCATGTTCATTTGGTTATTGCTCTGAAGCCTACTTATCAGATACTGTGAATGTCTTCCTATATCAAAAATATTTAACTCTATATTTCATTTTAATGACTGCATTATATTCTACTGCAGGAAATATACAAGTTCCATATGTATTTAACAACTCTCCTATATAATAGATTTATTTATATAACAGGAGATAACCATTTAGACCATTTCCTTTTGAGCAATAATTTGATGAGTAGCATCTTAATTACTACTTTTTTCAATTGTCTGATTATTTCCTTAGGATAAATTCCCACAAGAATATAACTGGCTCAGAGTCTGTGTGATAATGTTCATTTTTTTTATAAACTCACCAGCACTAAGCTTTATTAATATTTTTATTTTCTAGAAATCTGATATGGGAAAAAATTGATGATTTGTTTTCTATGTATTTCTTCTTCCAGGTGATGTCTATTTATTTTCTTTTCCCCTTTTCCTATTGGTGATAATAGCTTTAATTAAAAATGAGTTAATTTATTTTATATTCTAAAGATATAAACAAATTATTATGAAACAAAAGTGAATTTCTTAACATGTCTTATCTCTGTTTTCAAAAGTTGTGGAAGCATTTTTCTTGAACGACATAACTGAACAGTATTTAGAAGTTGAACTTTGTCCGTAAGTATAAAAGTATTTTTTCTAACTCATTACTATGTGTTTTGAACACATTATTTTCTAGTTATAAATCATATGTTTATAGTAAAATCTCACTAATTCCAGCCAACTGTGGGGAATGCTAATCTGAATTAATCTGAATTATATGTAATTCCTTATTTTCAAGTAAATGTATAACTTAGAGTATGTAAATTTTTGGAAGTGTACTGATACTATTTCTAACTAGTGTAGTTGATTTTCTAATAAATTTGAAGGATTCTTTTTGCAAAATGAAAAAAATTATTTCAAAACAGAAACTCTATAAAAAAAAATCCCAGAATCCCTCTCATTATTTATTCTGTAACTTTGCATTATTAAATATTAGCTACTTACAAAGAGAGGCATATAGATATAACAATTGAACCAGTTTATGAAAATGTTTCTTTTAGGGGATTCGTTTAATGGCTAGATTAAACTTTAATTTTATATATTACATAATTACATATTCATGTATCCCTTCCTTTATTCTTTATTCATTTATTGAGTACATACTGTATCACTTTTTGTTCAGTGCCAGGGATAAAAACAAAATCACATGTGGCTTTTCCTAGACTCATTAGAAATGTTAACCTTGGGCTGTCTCTGTTCAAATTTAATCAGTCTTTGAGAATTCTATCTGGTAGGCAATTTTTTTCTGTAGATGTCAAAAAGTAAATTTATGCCCACCTGTTATCTAAATTATAAGAAATTTTAAGTTAATACTTAGTACTGATATATTTTTATATTGCCATTATTTATTTTTTAATGACATTTGAATACTTCTCAGTATCTATTATCTAGTAACCTTTGTCCTTTTGTAGAGTGAGCAGAGTCCCAGACAACTGATTTAAATGAGATTTTAGATATCGTTTTCTTTTCCCTTGTTTCGCTTTCTTGCTAATGCTTTTGTGGAAAATACAGCTGTTTATAATTATATTTTTCAGAAGAATAATTATGTATCTTTGTGTGTTATCTTTCAACTAACATGCCAAAATCTTATTAAAAGTATGATTAATTCTTATAAACTATCATATGAGATAAGAAAATTTCACCATAGACATGAGAAAGCTAAGGCAAATAGGTTTATAACTTGTCTAAAAGATAGATAAGAACTTGGATCTACTAGAATTATAAAGTTACATCCTTAGTTTAAATTTTGTTGGATGATAATATCAGTTGACTTTCATAAAGTGATGACATCACAGGATACATAGGATAATTAGATTCTCTTTTGTTTAGAAATTATACGATAATCACTATGCATAAAATTAATAAATTTAAAAGTTAAAAAAAATCCCTAGAGTTGTTTGGTTTTAGGTAGATTAGGACAGTTAATAATCAGGAATCATGTTTGTGCTTTAGGCAGTCAACTCCTGTGACAATTAACCTCTAGGAAAGCAATATGAAGAGTATTCTTATTTGAATTTGCAAGAAATTTTATTCCTCAGGATATTCTTAAAGTTGTATAATAACGATAAAAATAAGCAGAGAACTTTTAAATGGAAAGGAATATTCGTCTTCTGTTAGACTAGTTTCTTGAAGGAAATCCTTCCTGAGAAGCTCCCAACAGACCATCTGTGTCAGAATGTTTAGATGCAGTCTTTCCCACACAGTAAATTTGCTTCATGTAACTATTTGAAATTCTTTGATTCTTACTGACCTGTCTAATCCCAATTATGTGCTCTTATTAGAGCTTTCTTTTGAGGGTATATTGTGCTTCTCTTTGAAAGTGTGACATCAGTGTCAGAACTGATGGGAGAAAGCAGGAAAACACAAGAGGCAGACAGGTCCAGAACAGTTGTGTATGAGAATAGATACAAATTAAAGTCTTCAGCCTGCTGAGTAGTTTTAGACAATCTATATTTTTATTTTATATCTTCCTAATGATCTTCAAGACAGTTTTCTTACAGAATAACCTTTAGTAAAGTTGTTGGATTTTGACCTGGAAATTGGTCCCAACTTCCCTTGGGATACTTTAAATTTCAAAATGGGTTTATTATGAACTCCAGATACCGTGGTATACCTCTGCCCTCTTTTCATACTTTGCATCATCTAACCAATTGAAGTATTTTATATAATGTCTTATTTAAAGAATATGAAAAGCAGTCTGAACATGTATAGTTTTATGCATTTGACTGCAATTGCTTGAAAAGTGGTAAAATCAAATACGCCATTTCTAAGTAACTGAACACACTGGCTCTCCCTATAATTATCCAGTATTTATACTGCATCTTTTAATTATTTGAAAATTTAGTTATAAGCACATGCATCACAGATATGATAAATAGTCCAAAAAATAATGTTTCTTTCTTTCAAACACTCATGAGGAATTTTAATTTTGACAGCCACGGACAGCATTTGGTGCTTTTACTCTCTGGTAGAAGAAATGTATGGAAAGTAAGTAAATAAAAATATGAGGCAAAATTCCATGTATCTTGTATATATGCATATTTTAAATGTTTAAAGTATAAATATGAATTTCCATTTTGTGTGTCACATGTTGTTTCTGTAGCAAGAACTTGATCTATCATTCAAAGTGTCCAGAGGAGAGACAAAATGGGAAGGTAAAGCTTATCTTCCTTGGAGTTATTTTCCACCAAATGTGACAAAATTCAATTCATTTGCAATTCATGGATCAAAAGACAAAAGAAACTATGAAGCTCTTTACCCTGTACCTCAGCATGAACTGCAGCAAGGACAAAAACCTGATTTGTAAGTAGAAAATAAATGAAAATATGTCCCAACTATAAGAGTTTTTTGAAATTAATTCTTGGTAGAGTAGTAGTAACATTTTTTGATTGAAGAATACATGTGTAAAAGCACCGAGTAGAGTGCTTTGTTTCCCAATGATCTTGAGTAAGTATTTGGTAGACTGACTTTGGACAAACATAGTCTCTCTCACTATTATCAGTAAAGCACTTATATTTCCATAGCAATGTAAGAAAAGTCTTGCTTAATGAGTACTGCAACAGCTGGTATAGAAGTATAGCTGCCAATTCATTTATGGTTCCTTTCAGAGCTTAATGGCCAGAGGCATCTGTGTTTCCTGATGTGAGCAAAGGGTTAATAAATCCTTTCCCCTGCTGCTTGAGACTCTGACCTTAAGTTAACTCTCTAATTCTCTTCTCCTGTAACCTCATAAGAATAAAAACATCAACTGTATTTCTAGGCAACATAGATGGGGATAGCATGGCTTCTGGTTTCCCCTTAATAGTCATATTCCCTGTGGGGACCCTGGAAGCTATGTCTAGAGAGTTATTACAAAATATACTGTTTCCTGTGGGGCAGCAGGCATGTAAGCCAAGGTATCTCCCACACTTTCCCATTTTGAGTCTGATCTCTTTGCACCTGAAAGAGTCACTTACGAAGAATGTAGTTCCCAGACAGCCTTATGAATGCTACATGGACTGCTGCAAACAGTTCCCCCTTAGGGAGGAAAGCCAGATTCTGTCCTGGGGCAACCTGAGACTCCTGCTGTATAGCATGTAGTCAAGTGGCCAAGATAGTCTGGTGAGTCTGCATACTTAGAAAAGCCTACCAGAGACATCCCAGTGGGCTTTGCAGCATGGTAGACTAACTTTCCTGCCTTTTTACCCTTGGAAAGTACTGCGTTGTCCTTATTCTCCCTTGTCCTTCCTGTATGCCCTTACTTTGCTCTACTTTGCTTTTTATCTATTCTAACCTGTTTATTCTGCCTGACACATTTTTCCCTTTTCCCCTTGCTTTTCTCCCCAGTCCTGGCCCTCTTTCTACCTTCCTTTCTCTTATCCTTTGCTGTTGTTTCCTTGACCACTTAATCTGGATTGACACTTGTGACTCTAAAACTGGTTCAGCCTGGTCAGGTGGGCAGAGTGGGACAGGACTCTAGATGCAACTCATTCAGGGCTTTCATATCAAGATGGTTTGTTTCTCTGCCTCTTCGCAAACTATACTTTCCTGTATTCAAGCTTCTTTTTTATACATTACTGGAGGCTTACTCTAGATAAAAGTATAATTATCCCATTGGCTAGGGCAGAGCCAGGGTGGAGTGATTTCCTACAGAGCCGAGTTCTACTGCAGCATGTTAGCAAAGCCTTTCTCTCCTCATTAAGCCACAGTGGAAAGCTTCTTAATCATTAAATGTTTTTTCCTGGAACAAAAAGAAGTAGAATTAATACTGTTTTACATAAACCCGCCTTGCTTTGGTAAAGGAGTCTATCCTTTAATCTGTTGAGTTGAAACTTTTAAAAACAATTGTTTATGTAATTGATATAAGTTACATCAAGGTCTGACTATGGAAACATCTGTAAGAGCATAATATGATTTCTTTAAGGCTAGATGGGATGAGTCAGGTTTGAGGGCTGATTTTTATTTCTCCCTTTAGCTGTGAGGGAGCTAGCTATTTGTAGAATTGAAAGGAGAGTGCTTTGAGATATGGGTGAATATTTTCAGAGCTGAATGTTTGATTACTAGAATGAGAAAATTGTACACATAGGATACATCTTACCTTCGATATTCTTTAAAGTAGAATGTTGTCCTATTGCAGATGTGACAAAATATATAGCTCTTCAGGGCAGTTTTTTCACAAATGCGTAGTTCATTTAAATTCCCACCTTCTTTTTCTTTGCATTTAGTCATCGTCTGGAGTACTTCAAGTCTTTCAGTTTTAACACACTCCTTGGAGAAGAGTGGAAACAGCCAGAATCAGACCTATGGCTATAGAGAAACCTGAGGTATAGAAGTATAGTAAGTGACCGTATCAGTCATTTCGTCCTATACCTTTTAAAGTAAATGAGTAATAAGTACAATCTCTTTGAAGAAACTGTGAACACATTTCAACAACAAAGATTTTCATAGAAGTCAGTGAAATCATAGTATCTCTCTGGCAAATTGTGTATAAATTAACAAGAAAATAGAAAGTTCATAGATGATTTTAACTATAAAGTGAAACTATTTCTTGGAGTCACTTAGTCCAGGAGTCATCATGTCAACAGGTTCTACCATCTGCCTTGCATCACCATTACCCCAAATATCCCTGTCTCTGTCAACCAAAATCATTATTTCTCGTCCCATTTCCCTAAACCTCAGCCAGTTTGAAACTGAACATCTTATTTGCACATTTTTGAACTCCATCATAACATGTAATAATTTGTTACTCAGAATCTTATGTCCATTCTTGAAATGAGGAGAAAAATGACATATTTTAGTTGAATAGGAAATCCATCTGTTCAGGAATTATTATGATACACGTGCTATTTAATCAGCTGTTTTTCCTGTCTTATGGCTACTTTTCTTCTGTAGAAAGAAATGGAATAACATAGTCTTGAATTCAGGCATCAGATTCTGCTTTCATTTACAAATAAATGACATTTTCTTTTTTGTTTGTTTTCATATTTCTTTTTTGTTAAAGGTTATTATGAGATATTGAACATACTTCCCTGTGCTGTACAGAAGAAACTTCTTTAAAATCTATTTATGTATATAGTGGCTAACATTTATATGTCTCAAATTCCCAAATTTATTTCTTCCCACCCCCTTTCCCTGGTCATTTTCTTAATGCTATTAAACAAGATGTCTGAAATATCATTCTACTTTGTAAACATCAAACACTCCTGGTCTATAATTTTCAAATTTTGTGTTATAATTCATAGTTTGAAGCCATCTAGTAGATTATCTATGAACTTCTCCACCAAACCTGGTCCTTCACCAGCATTCTTAACTCACAGATAAGCAATCTTGCAGAAGAAGAACCTTTATTACAGATACCTAGTTTCCTAGGCAATGATATACTTTCTCCTCTTCTTTGCTAGCTCTTTTACATAAATTGAATGTTTAGGGGCTCTGCTCAAAAACTAAACTTTCCCAAATTCCTCTGTAGATAGAAATGACACTATAAAACAGTTCAGGTCAGTGAGATGTAAGTATACAGTGTTAGAGATGCCTTACAGATGAAAGACTCAGTTGCCATATACATTTTGTCCTTTACTCTTCCTCTTCCTTTTTCCTGAATTGTAGAATTAATACCTGAGGTAACATAAGTAGCTCCACTGTGTTAATAAAGAGATAACCCAGGGATAGCTCAGTAGCAAGACAAAGGAGTCTGGGTTTCAAACAGCACAATAGAGTAACAGATCATATCTGGACTGCCTACCTGAAGACTTCTTTATGAAGAAGAAAATAAACTGCTAATTTATTTCCCCCAGTTGATCTATAGATTCAGTGCAATCTCATTTAAAAACCCTAGAAGGCTTGTTTGATAGAAGTAGATAAGTTGATTCAAATTTTTTATGGAAATGCAAAGGATCTGAAACAGCAAGAACAATTTTGAAAAAGTACAGAGTTGGGGGACTTGTATTTCCTGACTCCAAGACTTCTTATTAAGCTTCAGTGATGAAGACAGTATGACATTGGCATAGACTTAGACAGAGATATCAGTGCGACAGAATAGAGAAACTAGAAAAAAAACTACATGCAGTCAGTTGAGTTTTGACAGAGATAGTAATTTATTTAAAAGAGAAAGGATAGTCTTTTCAACAAATTGTGTTGGAATAACTGGAAAAACACGAAAAAAAATTAACCTAAATGTGACTGGTTAAATAAAAAAAATTCTAGGAACAAATGTTCACAATCTGGTGTAGACAAAGATTTTTTTTTCAAATAGGACATAAAAAACACTAACTGAAAATAAAAAATGGGAAATTGGACTTCATCAAAATTTAAAATTTCTGTTCATCAAAATCTTCCATTAAGAAAGTAAAGGAGCAGCCCAGCAATTCCACTCCTGGGTATATATCCAAAAAAACCCCAAAATACTAATTTAAAAAAGTACCTGGCAACCTAACGTTCATAGCAGCATCATTTGCAATTAGCAAGATATGGAAGCAACCTAAGTGTCCATCAACAGATGAATGAATAAAGAAGATATGGTATATATATTCAATGGAATACTACTCAGCCGTAATAAAGAAGGAAATGTTGCCATTTGAAACAGCATGGATGAACTTAGAGGATATTATGCTAAGTGAAATAAGACAGAGAAAGGTAAATACTGTATGATATCACATATATAGACTCTAAAAAATAAATAAACTAGTGACTAAAACAAAAAAGAAACAGACTCAGATATAGAGAACAAACTAGTGGTTACCAGTGGAGAGAGAGAAGGGGGAGGGGCAAAATAGGGGATAAGATATTAAGAGGTACAAACTACTATGTATAAATTAAATAAGCTACACGGATATATTGTACAGTACAGGGAATACAGCCAATATTTTATAATAACTAAATGGAATATAACTTTAAAAATTATGGATTACTGTATTGTACACCTGAAACTTGTGTAGTATTATATATAAACTATACCTCAATAAAGAATTAGGAAAATAAAGTGGAAAGGCAAGCCACAGATTGGGATAAACTATTCAAAATAGACATATTTGACAAAGGACTCTCCCCAGAATATATAAAGAACTCCTACAATCAATAATAAAAGGACAAACCATTTAAAGAGCAAAAGACTGGAACAGACACTTCACAGATGAAAATATGTAAAAGGCCGATAAGTATATAGAAAGGCTCTCAACCTCACCTACCACCAAGGAAATCAAATTAAAACCTTGAGATACCACTGAATAATAACCAGAATTAAAAATTGATGCAATGGCTAAAATTGAAAACAACTGACAATACTAAGTATTAATGAGACTGTGGAGAACCTTAATCACAGGTTCAGG